CCGGTGCGACTTTCAAAGCTGGCGACAAGTTTCAGCATGTTCTCTGATGTCCTCTTAAGATAACTAGACATGTCTCTTGCTTTAATCATCGATTTCCCACGGAAGTTCAAATTATGACATTTGCTCCCTGACTATATCCCGTTCCGCAACTTGAAGTAAAGGGAAGCTCGTTGCACGTGTTGAGAATTTGTGAAATGTCACGAAGGTATCAGTTGTCAAGTTCTCATCCAATCAGATGTTAGATATTGTTGTCAAGGACCAACTATGTCGAAGAGTCAGCGGTTTTTACGATGAGGCTAAATGTCAGTTGTAGATTTCTTCGTGACAGCAGAAAATTGAACCAAAGATTCGGAAGTTGTACATGGAGGAAATTTAATACAAAAGTTCAGTAAAATCAAGTCATGGGCACAAGATCTTCGAAGGTAATGAGATGCACTGTGAAAGAGTGGGGTTATTTGCTGATTTTGCATGTGTTTCAATGAACTTTGTGAGTGAAGTTAATATTTGAAAGTTCGTTCAAGCTCTATCTTGTTGTGTAATTCTTCGTGTGTTCTTTTTTTATTTTTTTAAAACTCTATTATAACATAATTTATTTAAGATCAGTTAACTATTTTTTGTCAATATTTTTTCTTGCTTAAGCTTATTTGGCCTCGGAAAACATCCATCTCAGAAATTCTAAGTTTATATTTAATTTTACATTCTGATTATTATATTAAGTTAATAAGAGTTTATAAGCTTATCGTTTTTAAGCCAGATGCATAAATTCGGTTGATTTGGTTGACGTTAACTTGCATCATATTATCTGTAGTAGTGTGATGGGTATAAAGATAGATCTATAATGTAGTTCTCTATTGAAGGTCAATCCAATCTCATTTTGATCAAAGATTATAAGTCATTTATGGCAATGTACTTGTTGCTTGCTGTGGTTAACTATATTTGTAGACATTGATAGGCATAGTTTTATATCTTGCCAATCGCTATCGTTCTTGTTCTATTCAAAGTGAAGCAGTTGAATAATAACTGGTATCCATAGTAGTTGTTTTTATGTAAATTTTTGAAGTGGAGCTAGTATTCCTCTCTGATTCAAGTAAGAGCTTCACATAGTTTGCAGTGGATTTTATGATGTAAAAGATTGTTGTTTTGTTGTTTCAAGTGTTACTGACTGGCTTGAGCTGCATGTTTTACTGATCCTTCGTGTTTTAATTTTGGGCTGTTGATTTGTCAGTCTTGTTTTTTACAAATCATCTTGACGAATTAGAGTATATTTTCCTTGTGTGTATGCATGCATAATGCATATCAATATAATTTTTTCATTTACTGTAATCAGATTTGTTGTTCATCAATTTAGTTTCAGTGGAAATATTCTTGGTTAGGTACTTTTTGTAGATTCAGCAGGTTATAAGAATCCAGTAAAAGTTTTGACTTGTAGTAGAGAATATTTTACCACTCCAAATAGTTCAATTATCCTCTTGAAAAGGTTGTAAAATCAAAGTTCTTGAAATTGGAATTGATGGTCCCACATCACACATAATTAATTCTGAGTACATACTGTAGAATACATTATTTACAATTTGTTGATCTGTGGAAAGAAAATATGTTAAGATTATTTGTTATAAAAAGTAAATATCTTATTATGCACTTAAATTAGTCTTACCTTGAGATGGATGTTGTGATGTTCCTCTTTGAGGCAATGAAAGAGCTGCCTCAGATTCACATGAAAGTGGAATAAAAATTCAAACATTAAAGGTTGAGTGTACACCATATGCTTTTGGGGGCATGAGGGCCTGGAGGCGGCCATTTTCAGTAGTGAAAGTCTATAAATTGTACTGTGCATTTCAAATCTTTGACCATTTTACTTTTCTAAGCACTTTTTAAAAATGCTAATATAAGAGTTTTCAACCATCTAAAATTCATATTACATCGGTGATATTTGGATACAGAAGTATTTTGCTGTAAATAATAACAATAAAACAGAGGCACAGAAAGCAATGGTGGAAACTGGGCCTTCAATGGAATAACCAGTTTCATGTAAATATGTCCAAATTGGTGTGCATGTTGTGATTATTTTGACAAAACAATAATATCATTGTAAATGTAGAATGCTACTTTAATGCACATTCAAGGTCATAATTTCAGCAAATAGTGATTCTCTTATCAATCAGATTTCCATGATATATTTGCAAGGTGGCATATATTGTAGGGATTTGAAAATTGTTTTGCAAAATATTTAGTACCCCTGAGTAACTTGTTATTTGTTTATAAGTTATTTGTTACCACGACTGAAATTTTTTCAGTAAGTACTAGTAATAGCCAAACCTAGCAAAATATGAGTGATGTTATCCCATAATTTCTTCATTTTTTGATTGGTATCTTAACTTTTGGATTTTGTTGAAATATTGGGCAAAGTTTTGTAAGCAATAAATGTTTATAATAGTACAATATATGCATTATATTTCAAGAGTTATTCGATAACATTTAATAGTTGACATTAATTGTAATACTTTTTCAATATTGAATCAAATTGGTATTTGTGATAAGAAAGAAGAAAAAGAAAAGAAAAAATATTGCATTAACTGTTTCTTTATAAAAGGAGGATATTAGCCTGTTTTTGATTTGGAAGTTACATATATTTTGTACAATATAATGAAAGATATTACTTGATTGAATAAGATATTTTTTATGGTACTAGATGACTATAATAAATTATAGTTAATTGAAAAGCCTAGCTTTTCTGTTCATTTTCTGTTAAAAATACTCGTAACTATTTAATGATATTAAATGTCAATCAGATATTTGAGTTTTCAATCTTTATTTTGATAGCATCATGATCAGAATAGTATACATTGATTACATTATTTTCAAGTACATTCAGATCTGTGGGTCTGAGATATATTTGATCTAATAAACTTCCAGAAATAAATGTAGGTCTTTGTACAATTTGAACATAGTTGAGAGATGTCATTAGAGATTTAAGTGGCTCAGAGTCATCATTGCTTAAATAGTCAATGTTGAAATCACCAAGCACTACATCAATGTTATTGTTTTGAAGTATTTGCTCTATGTTAGAGATAAAGACAGGTATACTTGAAGATTTGTTTCGATATAGCAAAAGAAATGATTGGCATTTTTCTGTTATTGTGTTTACTGTCTTAAATTTGAGTGCATTTATTGAGGGGAAGTATTGATGCTCGGAAATTTGTAAATGATTTTTGATACATAATGCCAGGCTTGAGAATTTATGTGATGGATGGTCTTGTCTGATGAGTGTAAATGGTTGAAGGTTTGCTCTAATATCAGTATCTCGATCATAAGGGAGAAGTTGTGTTTCTGTAAGTGCTATGATATCACTGTTGAATATATTTGCATCATACTTGATATCAGTACAGTGTTTGGTGAGAGATCTGATATTTAACAGAGAAACAGTAAGAGATTCAATGTCTATGACTGATCCATGTGTAGGTGAAACATCATTTTGATCAGAAGAAATATTCCTCAATCTTGCATATTCATTGTGTACT